TACAATATTTTTTTGGGGGAAACAACATTTCAGTTCTCGAATTTAACAGTATATTCTCTCTAAACCACTGATATTCATGTGATGTTTTCATGCTGAAAATACCGAAAAGATACAATTCTAACCCAAATTGATAGTGACGCCGCAATGTCATGAGCTACACACCAACAGTGCCGGGACGACTCAACGGTATTTGGAGCAGTCATAGAGAGATTCCGCGGCACACAAATTATTGCAACATCCCTTTTGGGTGTTGTTGGAGAAATGCACATTTTTGTCGTGTGTCGTATGGGAGTTGCATGGAATATGTACATAATATATTTGATGTCGTGAGCTGAGATCACTTGTAAAGATAGGGGGTGACCGATGACATTTTCACCGTGTGCTCGCCAGCATGCAACCACAAAGCTGCCGCTCGGTGGCTTCCACCCATCCCCCGAGATCGCGCGCGGCTGACCATTTCACTCTGGGCGGATTGTTCGTCGATTTCATTGTCATCATGATTGCGCGGCCACTTCTTCCTGCGCGGCCTGCAGATAGTCACATTCTAAACATGGACGCTCTCGGAATGCTCCGCAGCTCTCTCGTCTCCAATAGTGCACACGGGAATACCTTTAGGTCGCGCTACTAATCAGCAAACGGAACAGCCAGAGCAAGTCGGACGCTAAATGTGTTAAAATATACAATGATAGAGTCATTAGCTCGGTGTTTAGAGCAGATGCAAACGTCTTCTTTTTTTTTATTGGAGTGAGAAAATTGCTGTTTTAGCACACACACAAAATGCAAATACGCGCGCGGTGAATAGAGGCGCAATAAAAAGCGCAAAGACACACATTTAATTAATGTGTTCAAAAGTTGACTTTTTGATACCGCGCGCCACAAGTGAGCCAAAAGGTCTGGCAAATTCTTGCACTGCCAACAACACCAGAGAGAGAGCAAATGCTGTGTGGAACATATGGCTGTATGTATCAGATAATTGAATTCTACTTTGGATGCAGAAATAGTGTTACTGAAGCGAATTTTCTCTTCTCTGGTATGAGGCGAAAGAAAGTGGTATTTCTTTGAGGCACGACAAACTTCTTAATTCTATATTACCATTAAATAGGACAGCATTCAGCCATCGCTATCATGACTCAACTGCAGCACAGACTTTTCTCACTCTCAGTTCCTATGCTTATTTGCAATCTTTTCTTTCTCCTCTTGGCAACTCCATCGTACAAATAAATAGCACCACCAGCTCTGCAGATTGCCAGTGCAATCACCAATTAAAGTGGCTCGAAAAGTCAATCTCTTTTCTATTAATTAGCTCTCTCTCTCCCACCCAATTTCTTCACAAATATTATAAGTATACACATTGAGGATATCATGTTACTCCTCTTATTGTTGTTAACAGGCCACTTTAAGAACGTGTGTCGCGTGTGAGAAACACTCGTAAATCTCGCTGCCTTCTTGAACCGCGCGAGATTCCCTCAAGACCCCAATGACTCTGTTTGTGTATGTATGACATAATTTTGCCAACAATGCGTGACACTGAGCATAACAATAGATATATGTAGAAACATATTGTTAGCACAAATATATCCAGTTTTATAGGACACTCCAACTCCGAAGGCACATCGAGGGCTCTCATGCTGTTTTCACTAAGTGAATCTCGCCTCTGTACACACGGCATTCCATCCAGCATTGATGGTAATTTCCGCGAAAAAAAAACCGACCATAGAGAATCGCTCGACAAGGAAAAAAAAACTGCACTGTTTGCCCCCATATTCAGGCCCATTAATAAAGCATTTCCACGCGAAATTGGGCCGCGAGAGAGACGTGAAATTGCCATTGGGTGGGAAAAAGACGCTCCAGCCGCAGTGGCTGGATTGGGGATTGATGGACTTGAACATTGGATCTGTGGTGCCCATATCAATGGCAAAGATGGTAAAGTTCTCCCACTTTGACTTGTGAATAGCTGCGATCGTTCAACACGAAAGGTGCATTAATTTCAACAATCACTTCACTACACACGATTTAGCACAAAATATGTTGACGAAGGCGAATTCCCCCTTCAGTGGATATCAATCTTCCAGAACATTTCCACTGTTTATTTACTATTCCACTGCCATTGTCTCACCACACACTCTGGCCTCTGTTGTTCTTCTTGGGATCTCACCGCGCGGAGGCATTCTGCGAGTGCCCACTCGTGGAATGTTCAGCAGCATTCGACACAAAAGATAGGCAAAATAGGAGGATTCCTGCAGAATTTAGAAGACTCTCACTCTGCTCAATCTCCAGAGGGTTCAATCCACTTTCTAGAGAGACACACTCCTGCATTTATCAGCTCATCCCAAGCGCACTATCATTTGGAAAGTGTGACAGCTTGCAGTAAAGATATACCGCATATGAACGGCACTTCCTCAGTGGAAGCATCCGTGATCCGTGTCTGCATGGCGTATGAGATGCATAAAGTAGTGGAAATGTGCCTCGTGGACTAAAGCCCAAACAGATGAGCGTTTGAGAGAAAATGAAGTCGGGTGTTTTTCCGTGGGCATGGCGAACGTATAATTTTATAATAAGGGCGCGCTAGTGCATCGTCATCACCATCAGCCCATATGTGGCTATCAGTTGAGAATCAAATTCTTCACGTTGTGCAAACAGCCGATACACATCGTTGTCAAGGCTCTGTGTGGTGCAATGCAATGTTTTATATAAAATAATTGCTTGTTGCGAATATACTTTACGGCCTCACCACACATTTCTCCGCACCGCGCAGAGATATTGGAAGGGAAACGACTCTGTGTATTGATTCCCAAGTGGTTTTTCACGTGCATCTTCTTCTTCCATCCCTGCCGACAACAGCCAGCCACCCCCTCTCTCTCACCACACATACACTGCATTTCCTTTTCCGTCATCATGCCATTGAATCATTTTTTATTATTCCCTCTCCCCGCATTCTGCACTTCCCCGAGGCTCTTGTACCTCTTTCGTGCACTTATTGTCATTTGGAATTTCCTCTCGCGAATGCATTGGAGTCGAAATCAAACTGCAACCACCCATATGCTACCGCTGTGGTTGTGTTTAGTGTCTTTTCTAGTATTTTAAATTGATACAACTCCCAGCGAGATCCACGTCCTAGATGCTGATACCTTTTTCCACCGTCTTTTTTTCACTTTGTTATTCCTACGTGGTGACTAAACGTAGATTGTCTCCCTCCTCGCCATTCCATTTCTTTTCTCACTCTCTCTCTCTCTCTCTCCCGCACACTCGCGCGCCCCATTCAAATATCGCACATGGCGAGAGGGAGGAGAAATAAAAAGACGAAGAAAAAAAATCGCGCGCTACAGAACGAAGAATGAGGAAAATAAATAAGAAAATCGCGTACGTGAAGGAGTCTCTCCACGATTCGCAAAACAGACCACAAATTTCCGACACTGCCATAGTTATAAGAAATGTGACCACAAACATTGCCACTAAATAATCCTTCGTTCCACCTCCACTTTCCGCTCCTACAATTTTTCGTCCACTCCCTGTTCCAGATCACCTTCTCACTCTCTCCCTCTCACTCTCTCTCTCTCTCTCTCGCTCTCTGTCGCCAGGAGAGACACACAGCACCGCGCTGTGTGATCCATCTGTCGACAATTTTTCTAATGAATATGCTAATGCCCGTGTGCAGACGTACAACGAATCCACTCGAGATGGACTTGAGAATTAATTGAGTGTGGTGTCATTGAAAGAAAAGTTGAAACCATCAACAAGTCGTTGCTACTGTGTGGAGGAAGAGGAAATGCACATCAGTGCGCTCTTTGCCGTTCAAGCGGCGATTAAAAATCACGATAACAGCTTTTCACACAATGTCGTCATGGAATTATCAATCCCTCAAAACTCTCTTCCTCCCTCGACCCCAATAAACCAGCACACATTGCAGCATCTGTGGCACACAACACAGCTCGTGGGCTGATGGCCCAAGATGATTGAATTGATGATGCAGAGCCTCAACTGCAAATCTGTATTTAACATAGAGCGGAGAGAGAGAAAGAGCTTTTTGCATACAACAGAAATCCTTCAGTCTTCATCATCGGTTTCTATGAAAATGAAAGAGTAAATTGAATCAATTCAATCAAACTGGAGTGCAACTGTGCAAGCTTCCAGAATTGCCCAAGACATCACAAGACACAAGCAAAGAAGAAAAAAAAAGAGAGTCGAACCAAATAAGACGAGAACAAAACATTCATCTCGATAATCAAGTTGTGTTTCTTCTTCATCCCAAAGAAGAAATTCTCCTGCATTAACACACGTGCATTACATACAAATTTACACTATAAAATTGATGGAATGCATTTGATTACTGTACACGCCATTCAATTGGTTCAATATAATATTCCCATTTGCACGTCAATCGCTGTTCACAGTTGTACGATATATACTGTGCAAGAAACTTTAATCCGCGCGTCTCCGGCCACAAAAGAATCCCTCGCGCTTCGTTATCTTGCCACAGCCATTTTTTTGCCCCTCTGCCTGATGCACAGTTCCTCAGCTCAACAATAAGCCATGAATCAATGTCTAATTACTCAAATTACTTCCTCATCCCTTTTATAGCCTCCTCAAAGGGTGACATTGAAGAAATTCCCGTGAGGCCACAAAAAGCACATTATAGACAAATTGCATATTGTTTATTACGCTCGACTCTCAAGACTTGGCATTTTTCTCCCACCGACAGTGGAAAAAGTGCGTCTCCCGTCTGATAATGTCTGTCCTGATCTTTTTCCCATACGCAGAGAGGTATCAATGTGCCATTTAATTGATTTTCTCACATCACCATCCACTTATCTCATAGCATAATATCCATCAAGCCCGATTGGTATTTGCCATCCTTCGATATCCATTGGCAGCTATTAAACAATTAATCGCAATTGCAATTATCTGAAATTTATCCACAATCTCGCTAACATCAAATTTTTCCCTCTCTTTGTCTGTCTCTTTTCATGACCGCGCGCACATGGCAAATCTAGAAGGATAAAATGCAGCGATTACAACTGGTGCATGTTTTACTTGCCGCCTCAGTCGCCATGATTCTCACTTCAACCTCAACAATGGGACAACAGTCATCGTCATATAACAAGCGACTATCTAGAACAGAAATGCCTATTGTGCAGGCAGCTAATGCACCATTAAGTGATAATATTGCGACAGCCAGTGGCTCAGAGCCAGCACTCCAAACAATTAAGGCGCCAGAGGGTGAGAGCAGTAGCGCAGTAGATACGAAACCAAGTGATATCGCAGGACTGGAAGAGTCAGACGAGAGTGACACATCAATTGAGGATGAGTGTGATCCTGATATGATTGGATTTGAGATAATCACAGGGTAAGTGAATAAAAAATCACCTAATATCATATAATGATGCGCGCGCTGCAGAACCAGGAAATACCTCGCTAATCCACCACTCTTGGTGTCCACCACACCTATTGGCCGCGAAGGCCAAGAATATATTCCCATCGATCGATCAATCGCCCCGCGATGATGCTCCTTTCCCACAGCAGCGATGGTGCATTAATAAATATCGTCCCTTCCTCCTAATGTACACACACACAATCAATTAAAAAGAATTATCTATTTGCAGGTATGTTTTCTCAGCACCGGGAAAACTCTTAGACTCCATACCAGGCACTTTAATGTTCACCGATTGCCTGGAGGCGTGCCAATCTAATGACTCCTGCAACTCTGTGAATTATGAAACCGGACTGTGTGTACTGTTTGCCTCCACTGCTGATAAACTACCAGGTATTGTGGCTGCCATCCTCCCCTTTCGCATCCCAATAATTTAGAGAATTTAATTAAGTTTTAAGCAACAAAACATTAATTTCCCCCCGTTTTTTGCCGTTTGTCTCCGCAAATAACCTTGCCCACCCCCTGTGCACGACCTCCTGTACCTGCGCCTGTCGACAATCATTGCTAAACTTGACTGCCCGGACGGATCAGGAGCACTGGCCAAGTCGCAGTTTCCCGTTTTCACCATCTACGCGCAGAAATCATGCCTGGCCATCCGCCCGTGCGCCCGTGCCTGGTGCATCGACAGAGTACAAGGCTACAAATTACTGGGATACGAAAAACGATCAGCTCAGGCAGCTTCTAGGCGCGACTGCCTGGAGATGTGCCTCGGTGAGACGGACTTCACATGCCGGTAAGTTTCGCCACAGAAAACGCACTGTGTGCCAAGATATCTATTCCCTTCCACAGAGTGAGTGAGAGAGAGATTGCGGTGCAAATGTGAGGAGATTGCTGGGTGAGGTGCGCAAATAAATCCACATGGGATGTGAAAATTGATTCCCAACAGCAGCGCTCACATGCCAGCAAACGGCACAAGTTTCCGCAATTTTCTCTCGCAATATACTACACATTGCTAAATAATGATGGTCAAACAACTTGTCCCAAGCTAATAGACATTATTTATTATGGAGACAGAGAAAGAGGGATTAGAGACTAGACCAATGGGCAGTGGCTGCAGTCATGTGCAATGTAGTTCACGATAAACTGCCCGAATAATTAATTTCAATTGTTTACGTTATGAGAGCACCAGAGTGTCCAAACATCTGACGGATGTTGAGCACGCTCCCTCCACCTTCCACAGCGCCATGAGAGTGAGCCATATTATGTACATACAGCACAACATACCTTGAACTTGGCCACTTGAGCAAGCGCTCCAGCCACTCATTTCCCTACATTTCTTGCGCCCAACATAGCGCTTATCTCTCCCCCTCGCCGTACCTATAATTTCCCTCCCGCGCTACTTCCATGGCCAAAGCACCAACATCATCCGCAATGTTCTTTTTGTTCTCCGCGGCGAGAAGGAAAATTCTGTTACACATTGCTCGTCGTCGTCTTCACAATTTGCACCGCCTTGATGTGTTAGAACACAGAAACGAATTTAAATTAATTAACTGTACATTGAATGCTAATATAAAATTTCTTTGGTGTGCGCTCTTAATTCAGCAATGCGGAATTGTTGTATACACGGGCAAAATGCTCCATACCTCGTCTCCTCCATCATCACAATAATTCGCGTTAAACTGTTTAATTAGATTTATAATGGAGCTGTGCACAGGGATTCAGCTTCAAACAAAATAATATATATATATTTCTGTTACACTCCATGGGAAGTTGTGCAGAATATTTTGATATTTACTCTCTCACACACCATAAATATGGAGCAAAACACCACTTCTCTCATGTCTTCGGCTTCTCCACACACGAGAAATGGGTGAGATGATGATGATGATGAGAGAGAGGGATTTATATAAAATAACTTAATTAGCGCCCGAGCGATGCTATGACCTTTTCCACTGCTAATTTTCATCTCTGTTTTCAACCAAATTCGCACACACAACACATTTCAAATAACCTCATCGTCATCCCCCTTCTTACAGTGAGTGCGCGCAATGAAGCTGGCAAATTGAATAGGAGTGAAAATAACGAGGGGTGTGTCAATTCGCACTTGATGTACAAATTGGCCAAACACCGCGCACATCTTTTTGCCATGCTTCGGTGTTTTAATTGGAAATCACCTTTTTTTTCGGCGCACCCAGAGAAGGCACGAATCTTATTACGTACACCCGGATTAGGTTTATCGGCATGACACCTCTTCAAAAGCACCCAACCAAGTATGAATCTCTTGGTGATTAATTCGCTCCCAAACTAATCAATCAATCAAAGGTGCAAATTAGAACAAGATATACAAGCAACTAAGGCCAATTGAAGTCCATTGAACTTGGGTGAGTGGATGGAAAAGTCATTGGTCATCTGGGAAATTACTGACATTCCCCTGGGCAGAAGTTACAAATCCATTAGAGGAGAGAATATTTGCTGATTGCATAATAGGGATGAGTACACAACATAGTCACATTACTCCATTCTGCGCTAATCAATTGACTGCAACTCCACACCTTTCACTTTCCACACAGTCACCAGCGGATGATTTGCGACTTTTCACTAATGCCCCAGACATCCAGACACCCATCAACCTTGACTTGCAGCGCACTTCAGCAGAAATCATTACGGCACATGTTCAATTCCATCTAATTTGGGGAGGCTGAGAGTCCATTTCGTACACCACAAAATGAGACATGTTCAAGTATTCATTTCACACGCCACTTCTTCGGCCTGGTGCATCACCTGGTCATCAGCACAGAGTCGTGCTTTTAATACCCGCTTTTGTTGCCGACAAGCGAGATGGCAATGGAAGAGGTGGCAAGGCTATTGCCGCGCGTCTCTTTTGATAATGTTACAATTTTGATGAAAATTGCATCGCCACACTCACTAATAAAGTGGAATCACACAATTGAAATGCCCGCGATGATCAAGAGACGCGCGCGGTCCAAGGAGTGGAAGATAAGTGAGCTTGACACATACAACACACAGGATGCAATTGTGGTTTGGCTCTCCTCCGCGCTCCTGCGCGAATGGATTTCTCATTCTTCTCTTCCCATCTTTTTTTTCTTCATATCATTGCGACCCTTTTGACTTTGCCTTCTTGTGACCGCATTCAGCATAATTTTTCCCCGTCCCTCTCGCTCATAGCCACAATAAATGCCACAGAATTATCATCATAAATTGCCGACAATATTGCATTTCACGTTTGGCCAAGACCACTCTTCATCTACTAAGTGCTTTGCAGCACACAAACAACCACACGCCACTGTATGTGGAAATTGAAAGTGACATTCAAAGGGAGGTATACACAAACCTCTCTCGCCAGCCCAATTGTAAATCATATTCAATAATGAAATAATAGTCACCACCACTCTCCTTCCCATTGCAGATCTGCCAACTTTTATCGGTCTAGCGGTTTGTGTGAACTGTCTGACATGGATCGCATCACATTGGCCGGCTCCAGTGCCTTCAAGCACAGCGATGAGGCGGACTATCTTGAGAATGCATGCGCCGAGGAGCCAAACAAGCTCTGTGAATTCAAACGCCTCTCCGGCCGCATCCTCAAGACCGTGGACTCGGTGTATCAAGACGTGTCCAGTGTGGACGAGTGCCGGGAATTGTGTCTCAATTCACCCTATCGCTGCCACTCCTATGACTACGGTGACACCGGCGATATGGTGTGCCGTCTAAGTCATCACAGCCGCGCCACACTTGCCGACATCCAAGATCCCTACTTAGACGTCCCCGAGGCGGCCACATATGAGCTCTCATCCTGCTACAATGTCTCCATTGAGTGCCGCGCCGGCGACATGGTGGCCAAGATCCGCACATCCCGCATCTTTGACGGCAAGGTGTACGCCAAGGGGGCCCCCAAGTCGTGCTCTGTGGACGTGAAGAACGCCCTGGAGTTCGAACTGCGCATGGGATATCAAGATCTCGAGTGCAACGTGCGCCAGAATGGCCTGGGACGCTACATGAACGACGTCGTCATTCAGCATCACGATAAGATTGTCACATCCTCAGATTTGGGACTTGCGCTCACATGCCAGTACGACCTCACCAACAAGACTGTGTCCAATGATGTGGACTTGGGCGTCACCGGAGACATCGAGACCACCCTGTCCGAGGAAGTCGTCGTGGACTCACCCAACGTCATCATGAAGATCACCTCTCGCGATGGCAACGACATGATGCGATCCGCCGAGGTGGGAGATGCCCTGTCGCTGAAATTCGAGATTGCCGAGCAACAGTCACCCTACGAGATCTTCGTCCGCGAGCTCGTGGCCATGGATGGCACGGACAATGCCGAGATCACCCTCATCGACTCCGACGGCTGTCCCACAGATCACTTCATCATGGGTCCCATCTACAAGAGCTCCACCACCGGGAAGATCCTCATCTCGCACTTCGACGCCTTCAAGTTCCCCTCTTCGCAGACGGTGCAATTCAGAGCCCTGGTCACACCTTGCATGCCCACCTGCGAGCCCGTGCAGTGCGACGAGGAGGACTTCAGCGGAGAGCTGAGATCTCTCATCTCCTACGGCCGCAAGCGGCGATCAGTCAATGGTTAGTAACACTCATCAATCAATCTTGGTCAAGCGGCTACTCAGCGGTACAATGATAGGCCCTATTATCTCGAGAAACGAAAACACTGTCCCCTTTTTGCACAATTACCCAAAAACTACTCTAACACCGCCGAAATTGATCATGATTGTTCGCACTAAGTAATCCCCCCAAGTGTGCGAAAACATCAACACGTAATCATTGTCATTTGTTCCAGCTTCCAGGCGAATGCGCCGTGAAACACTCAAGCAGCCACCAGAAGACATGCTTCTGGTGCAATCAATTGAAATTACCGACAAATTTGGCTTCGAGAAGCAACAATCGCAGATTAGGCCCACCACGAAAGAGACTGTCTTTATGGCCACCGATAATCAGGCATTCTGCATAAATGGCTTCGGTAATATTCCTCAAAACTTAATGCCCAAATTACACTGGAACATTTTGCCAATAACTGTGTGTGTGAGAACATTTGCAGGTCTCATACTGGCCGGAGCTGTCTTCCTGCTCGCTCAAGTCTCAGTCATCGGCATCTGGACATTCCTGTGGCAGCGACGACGAAAACAGCGCAACTTCGAGGAGTCCGCGTACGGCTCCACCATTCCCACGCCCACCCTCACCGCCGGCCGGACTGATTCGCTCTGCAAACTGTACGAGACAACCCACTCGAGACATCCTCGTCACTTCTAACACGCGCCAACACACGGGGAAATGACGAAAGGAAATGATAAGTAGGAAATTACACAAAAAATGACAAAAAATCGAGCTACAGTAACAATGTTAAGGAAAAAAACAATTAGGCGTCATAACTGAAATAACCGACAGATAAGACTTTAATTTTTATTTCTCCTCTAAAGTAATAGGCAAGAGATTTCCAGTACATTTTTTTGGTTTTTCACCCTTCCAACTCCTGCATTTGCAGGAAAGACACATTTTATCCCCTCCAAATTCCGCGATATACAGATGACTTTTTTGTGGGTCGAGCATGATTTTGTTTTACCATCAAAACCAACTACCATATTAGCGAATTAATTTAAAATGATTACGTAAAATTTTTACGACAAAAAAATGCGCTCAATTTTATTATTATTTGCTTAGGTGCCGGATTACTAAAAAAAAACAATGAGAACGAGATCACGAAATCGAAGACGAAAAGAAGCGTAATTATAAATAATATATTTCTACGATAATTAACTCTCAAACGCATTCCAATGCATTTTGGAAGTTGAAGTATAATGTTAGGTGTACTTTTCTTATTAAAAACAAAAAAAAACAATCAACGCAAGAAGATTAATCAATTTAGCGATGAAGATAAGGATAACTATGAGAAAAAAAATTGGAAAAAAGGACGACTGTACATGAGATGAGTGATTGTGTGTTTGTCATAATCTTTCAACTTAGCATTTATGAATTAACGATTCCCATTTCCTGCCCAAACTGGCAAGCTAAGCATCCCCAAAAATTTATCAGATCAACACCCTTCAAGTGGTCTGATAAATCCCATATCTTGCGAACCACAAAGTGTGAGAAAATGCGTGTGTATCTTTAATATAAAAATAATTTAAATTCTTGTACAAGATCTACAAGGTTGAAATGGAGAAACATTTTCCTAATATTTCCATTCAACATCACAGATTGAGGAATCTCTCTCTCTCTTCACTTGCTCACCACCAATGAGTGTGTGTGTGGCGCACAGCTTGAAGAAATGTTAGGAAAAAGGTCTTCTCCATCTTGTCATCCAGTTAAAGAATGTTACAAACTCAATTGGAATCATTTGTCCTTTTTTCTGAGATTGTCAACTAACAAGATAATATTCGTGTGAAAAATTTACAACATAATTGCCCTCAATGGACATTCCCATATGGAATTTTTCACAAGAACATTTTCCATGACAATCAAGTGCTGATTAAGAAAGATTGCAATAAAGAGCGGAAAGTATCTTTTACATTTTTCGCTCTTCTTACTTTTATATTATATGATTTTTTTAATACTTAATAGCCTGAGACATTAAGTGACAATTTAATTAAACGGAATACAATTTCACTTCTTTTTTAACCCATGTCCTCAGACTCTTCTTCCTCATCAATCCCATCTTTTTCACCCGAAAGTAAGAAACAAAAAAAAAACATTGTGTATGCAATATTCTTCTCAGTGGCACAGCGAAGCGCCGTGACAAACTGATCTGACGTAATTATAAAAGAGACATCATGAATAATAAATGATAAAAAATCAGTATTTAACTTACCCGTAATCTTTGATCTGTCACCGTCCACACGCGACTTGCAAAGTCATTGGAAGTCCCGAGGATCATCGTTCCGGTCGAATCGAAGTCCACTGAATTCACTCCAGCGTTGCTTCCCACCAGAGTTCCTCGAGGTTCCATTGTACCTGCAGAAATTGACCGAAAATCAGCCCTTTTTGATCTCTTCAGGACAGCAAATTTTCCTCACCTGTTCCCACATCCCACAATTTCACCTTCCTGTCAGCTCCTCCCGTGGCAATTATGCGATCCAGAGGACACCAGCGCACAGCATTCACCTCGCCATCGTGCGCGTCGAAGCGCAGATGAACACTTGTGGGAAGAGACACACTGAAGAAGCCCGCCGCCTTGGCGCCGGCGCCCGAGAGGTCGGCCAGGCTGCCTCGATCGAGCGGAAGAATTGGACTACTGGAGCGCCTGGAAGCGTCCTGAGCCGCATCCTCAAGCTCACGACGCATCTTCTCAGTTCGTTTGCGCAGGAGATTCTCATTCTCCTCATTCAACTTGTCGGCATCCTTCGCCTTATACTTCATCAGTCGATCTACCAATTGTCGATTTTCATCCTGCAACAAAAACAACATACAGAGTTTGACGAACTGACAACATTTTCTGATGATAAGATATGAAACTGTTCGCGAGATTCATCATATGATTGACTCAGATGACTAACATCACGCTAATCTGCACGAGTTATTGATTTATGGACTATCACGAGATGGTCAGACAATCGCGAGACGGTAATTAAAGTGAAACAATCAAGCCAAGATTTCTTCAGACGGATTTCTTATTGTGAAACTACGCGTTACGCAGCTCAAATTGAGTAACGCACACTCTTAAAGTGTTTGCAATCCGAAAAGTGACTCTCTCGCTGAATTTTTAATTTTCAAAAGTAAATAAGAGTGTGCTTTATCGAGCGTTGATGATATAAAATCAATAATTTCTCTAGATTCACATTACATAAACACAAGAAAAGAGATTCTCAAAAGCATGTCTCTTTGTTCTCCGCTAAAGACAACGATGCAAATTGATGCTAATAAATCTGAGATGCTTCTAATAACTTTGTCCCGCGAGATAACACTTAAACCCACAAGTTTTATGACCTAATTAGCTTAACACGAAGAGAACAAAGGCTTGTCGCAGCGAATTCACCTGAACCTTTCGCAGCTTGTCCTCCACAGCGGAGTGGGCGAGTTGCAGGGCAGTGTATTCATCCCGCAGGATTGTGTTGAGGTCCTTCAGTTCTGAGATGTTGTTGGTCAACATCTGCACTTCGGCTTTCAAGCTCCCGTTCAGTGTCACCTGCTCGGCGTACTTCTCCTCGCGATCCTGACTCTTCCTCGTCATCTCGGCCAGCTTCACATTCAGATCCACAATCATCTGGGCATTCTCGCCTTTGCGCTTGTGGAGCTCCGTCAGTTCCTCCTGCTGTGTCATCAGCTTCTTCTCGAGAGCCTGAATCTTGGCCGAGGAAGCACCACTTCCGCCATGCGACTGTCCGGCGCCTGAGCGCAGCTGCTCATTCTCTACCGACAGCCTCAGGTTCTCCAGTTGCAGCTGGACATTGGCATCGAACAGCCGATTGTCTGTAAGAGCAGAAAAATCGTCAAAATGCAGTCGAGATGCACTGAAAACACACAAACACTGCAAACTTACTGGCCGTGAAAATGCCATCAAAGAAGGATGACTCCTTGCGATTTCGCTCTTTTAAACTGTGCACCAGCTTCCTCTTCCACATGGGCTCCTGGGAATTCATGGCTAATTGGCAAAACACCCGGAAAAATCACCCCAAAAATCATACAAATTTCCCCCAAGTGTCAAACAAGAGAGTGAGGTTACGTTTTCGCGATTGCACTGCAAAATCCACCAAAAGTGGCACTTTTCACACTAAACACTACCACTATGAGTTGAGTGAGAGAGATTTTAGAGAGTTTCCATGCTATTTGCGCGATTAAATGTCCCGATATGCCACGTTTTGGGCGATAAAAACGCGGAAGAATTTTCGCGACACCACAAAAGTAAACACGAAAAACATCGACAATCATCTGTCCGCGGAGGGGAAGTGGCGATGTCAATAAGATCGCCAAGTGCTGGGGTTGCCAGAGCGGACCAAGTTCTTCGCGAGGACTAGATAAAACCATCTTTGATTTGTGAAAAAATGCGAAATTAGGTGGTATTTAATAAATGTTCCTGGATGAATTGTATTGTAATGTGAGTTTGGTCAATGCTCTTTGTGTAGAGCTTGTTTTCGCTGCGATAAGAGAGGTGGATAGTGAGAAATTTGCGTGTAAAGTGGAGACTGACATTTTTCTTGTGGTGCAGTTAGGATTGAATTCCCTGAATTGCTGTGATAACGGGTTCACTTTCGACTACTAAGTGCTCCCGGAGAGTCTGTCCAAGCTGCAGAGGTGAGTATCCTCTCATTTGATCCACTGGGAGTGGATTTGTCTTGAACGATGAATTTTATATTCCAGAAATTCCCAGAGTCATTTCGCGCCCTTTTCACCATTTTTTGTTCGTCACAATTTTTTTTTGTATTCTTTAGAATTGACTTCCATCGAGACAAAGGAAGCCATGAGTGACTCCAACGATGCTTCTGATGGAGAAAAAGGGTTGTCATTACCTGAGGACTCGTGTGCTTTGGGCGATGATGATAAGAGCTTTCAAGAATTCTTCTCCGAACTCAGGCAAAAGCAATTCGTCTCATCAGAGTCTCATGTCAGCGACTCGCCAATCACGGACTTAAGCCACGATCTGTGCTTAGCCTCTCTCAAAACACCCTGCGTGGCTTCGCTGGATCATGACGAGTGCCGAGGTGAGTTCCCGAGACTCAATCCCAAAGCCTTTAAATGTTTGCCATCTCACCACAATCGGTTGATGTTGGCGCGATAAAAAAGCAAGACGTTGGAGACACTTGATCCTCTCTCCTCGGCGGCATATGTGGAGTAGATGGGATGGTGTTTTTTGTGGGAGCTCTTTGTGGCCCCAGTATAAAGATGTTGGGTCGAATTTGATCTCCCGCATGATCGAGGGAAGCAGCCGAGAGATCTCTTCATGAGGTCCCATTTTTTCTCAGTGGCAACGCCATATTTCATCGTTGTGCCACCCAAAATCAATTAGATCGAGTGCTTTTTATGCCAGGAACGTGATCGTGGTCAAATTGAGTGTTTCTGCCAGTTTCTGTGCGATCACTGGCTTTGGAGATTATTTTATGGCTCTCTTGACGCCACTTCTAAGCTCACAATCCATCGGTCATGCTTATCAGATTATCTATGGTAATCTTGTAGAATTTCTAGGTTCTTGAGAGATATTTTCTACTGTGATTTTGAAACACAATTCTTTCAACCCAAAATATTTACTTTTGTGAATCATGAGTTGAAAATACAGTAGAAAACACTCAATTTATCGGAAGAGGAAGTTCTTTTGAACGCCTTCCGATTTCTACCCGCATCGGAAATCGTGTTTAAATGGTTTAAATCACAAATCATAATTTTTTTTTGGACTTTTGAAAATGATCTATTTTTCAAGGTTTCTAAATATATTTAATCGAGAGGAGAGAAACAAAACGTCTTGCGGTCATTTTTGGTCCATCCGCTGACTTTTGCGGAAGAGAGAGAGAGAGAGAAAAGCAGAGACTGGAATTTTGGCGCGTGTTTCATATTTTGCCGGCAACTCAGGAGCATTTGTCTCAGGTGATTTATAGGTTTCCCTCGAGGAGTCTCTGGCCGTCTGTGTGTGTGTGTTTGTGACTAATTTAGCGGTGAAGTTTTCCCGCTGCATTTTTCGCTATGGTGTGATTTATACAGATAATTGTCTTCCTTATGTACAGCGAATTCAATTGATGAGTGTTGGAAGGATAAGTGAGGAATGTCTTTTGTTCCTGGCATTCACTGCATGGGGTGCAATTTTGGCCCCTCTTGTCCGTCGCCGTGAGTCTTGAAAGACTGACTCTTTTTCTCTCTCTCGCTGGCGCACGGAGAATAAGGAAATTTAAAATCCCGCACTTTTTCTGCACGAGTGCGAGAGATCTTTAAAAACCCACCCCAAATTTAAAAGGGGTGCGCCTTGAGACGTCTTTCCACCGCAGTTTCTTCCAAGAATGTCTCCCTCTGGGGTGGTTTGCATTTTGGCGGGAAGGCGCGAAGGCGCGAAGAAGACACGCGAGACACGGTTTTATTTATTAGTGGCGCGACATAGAAGTGTTGGGGGATGATTGTGATTTCCTTGGTGCGCGGGAAAATGGTTTTAATTTTAGAACGAGAGCAGCAGCAGCGTGACCCTAAGTGCATGTGTGACATATGCCCCCTTCAAGACGTCGCTCGGCGCATTGAGTAACGTCGTCTTGTGCGCTCCTGCGAGGGCCCACAGTAGTTTTCACATTCCATGGGGTGGCTTCTCGGTTATAACGCATTTTCGCATCTGCCCTGTTCCTCCTGAGCGACGACGGTATATCACATCGGCAGTGTATTCCTCTCCTGGCGTCCGAGGAGAGTTTCCACACTCAGGGATTTCGTCAACTCGAAGACGTTGGCTTTTCCCGCGCTTCTGCTGTCAAAGGTCATCATCATCATCGTCATTGAGGAGGCAAATTTTGGTGTGATGCGAGAAATTGTGAAGATATCCTGAGGGATCACTGTTAATACACTCGATTCTCAACGATTTCCTAAAGTCATGGGATTGTTTAGAAAATAAACCCTCCAGTTGATACACACAGAAGATGTCTTAAAAGGCTGAGAAATAAACATTGGAAGCATTCAATAGAATCCTATCAAAACTTTATCTAAATCGATTGAACAAAATAACGATTTTGGAGGGAAATTCTCTGTCAATGCAATTGAATCAGTGTAATAAAGTTAGGGTTGCGATTGCCAGACAAAGAGCACTGCACAATTTCCTGATAAAGCGGTTTTATTTAATACTGTAATGTTTGCCTGACAGAATTATATTTTTCACTGTAGCGAAACAAGAACGTTACGGAATAATTTCAACTAGAGAATTGTTATTCTCCGTGTTTACGTGATAATGCAGCGAGAGAGAAGGGGATTTGAGCTAAAATTAGATCTTTTATTATTCCTTCAGTTAGGGTTAAAAATCATCTCAAGTTTCTATCTCTCGACATTCGTTTGAAAATGCCTTCGTATGTCAGCGAGAGAGAGAGCTTCTTGCCTTGTGATAGCGCGATTGTGCGTGAAAATGATGCGGAAACGGCCTTCAATTTCCCTCGTGAGGACTTGCAGACGAGGTGGGTGAGCGTGAAAGGTGGCTTGTTGGTGAAAATGCTGCTTATGAATATGCGACATATGTGAATTCGGTTGACCCGTGCCACATTTCTATACCCCCGTAGATCATCCAAGCATGGCACTTTATTATTAAAACCGTGTAGGGTGAATAAACTAAAGTTCATTTAACTTTTTTCCATCCCTTGATTCATGTGTGAATTTCAAATATGGAATTAACACCCAAGAATTTCACTATTAATCATTGATGGCCTCTTTGTTGTTCGGATCGGATAACAAAGCATGTCGAATTAAATTGGATGATCAATGGGCGAAAATCAATGTGTTTTCAATTGAAAGGGTTAATATAACATGTGTGTGTGTGTTCCTTTTGTGCCTATAATGATTGGCTTATTAAAAATATAATTTCCACGCAGAAGATCGTTGTCGAAAAAGTGAGGATCTTTCGCAGGATTAAAAAAAAATCTCAACGCCCCTCCGTAGTTTATTACTAACTGATTTTCTTCTTCTTAAGGTTTTTACAAAATTTACGAATCTGCCAATTTTTATTGCTCAATATTTCACGAATTTTTTTTTTGGAAAAATTCCTCTCAAGCGAAGCAAAAGAGAGAAGGTAGAAAGGCAATTGATACTGGTGTGATTTGGCACCCTAATAGTGGCATAGGTAAATGTGCGTCTTGGAATCAACAATATATATAAAATTATAAGGCCCATAACTTGTCAATACTATTCAGTGAGGACTTTCTTCTCTGTTATTACTTCTGTCACGGGATTTAAGGGAGAGTTTTCAACATGGCAGTGATCAAGAGACCGTTATGAAAAGGCTCATAGTGGTATTATTATTACTAGAATATCCAATATATGATGAAGGAATCAATTTGAATATTTATAATAAGTCATCGAGACGAAGGACGAGATTTCTCCACCAAAAATTGATACTTGTGGGAAAGAATTTGAGTTTCATGTGATCTGCATTCGCTTGATCAGCTTCAGCTCTCATGGCGCGCAATATTTGGAACAACGACCCCAAAATACTGGTGGATTTAATTACCACCACACGAAATGGACTTTTCAGCTCTCTGCAGGTCCATTATCGCATCCCATGATCCTCTGATAAACTCGTTCTTTGCCTCCTTGTTGCGATGACGGTTGCAAAAAAGCGAATCTCATCTTCCAGAGTTGTCCAATAATTTGTGCGGTGAAATAGAAACACACACGTTCAAAATCTCATCATCGTCGTTGGGTTGAATAATTCCTGCATAAAATGAAGAATAGAGGCAAAGAAAAAAAAACACCCTGAAATGAGGAGAGTCGCTAAAATGTCATCCGAAAATTATCATATTGATGGCATGGAATTGGTAATTTAAATGCAAAAATACATTCATACAACACCTAGCGAATATCATATCATCTTGTGTGCCGCGCATTGCCGATGTTGGGGATACGTTGCAAAAATAGCAAATAACCATAATGATAAATCTCGACTGCGGGAAGAATATTCGCAAAAATGCCCCGTCTCGGGATCAATCAACTCCTAATACTAATGGCTTCTTGACTAGTTGGCTTCCTTGGTGGGGAAAGGAGGAAAAAAAATTCGCAAACTGTGCGAATTTTGTTGGAGACGTTTTGCAAATTTATAAACACACAGTCCCGCCTCACAACAATAGTGCATCCTGTTGGGATTTTTTCAGCTCATCTGAAGACACAACTCTGATATTTGAAAATTCAAACACACCCGTCAACATTCAACGTATCGATACTGTGATGTTGGCTAATGATAATCCACGGATCTGTCTTCCTTAATGCAGTGCGAAAATTAAGAAGATGTTGACCTGCATCTCATGAATAATTCATATGAAATATTTTACTCTTTTTTATTTGCTCTCTGTGATTTTTATGCGTTCGGAGCATGTTTGGCGCGGGAGCATAAAAAAGAGTTTATATTTATCAAGGCATATTCCTACTGACCGTTGAGGCATAACAGCATAGCAATGAGACAAAGTGATAAGTTGTGAGTATACATAATGAAAAAATGGCAATTGAGAGCTGAGTGAGTGTTGATAACACAATTTTGAGAGACTCTTATTATGTACAATAACTGACCGAATTAAGTATTTTCCTCCATTCATCATTCTCAACTGGTTTTTTGTTGTGCACTCTCGGCGGGATCGTTTCAACCCTCTTATCACAAAATAATAACATGTAATTGCAGAAAGATTGAATTTGTTGCAATTTCTACATGATAAGCGAGATGATCATTTTGTTTGAAAAGTGTCAAATTTGATTTTATATTACTTTTTATTGCAAATTTCGTTAATTTCAACCAAAACACACGATAATTAACTGTCGCAGCTTCCGAGGGAGTTTTCAGGAGGAACACAGAACACACACAGTGCACGATTTCTGTGATCAGTTGTGACTTCTCTCGGGCTTTCTGGGGTGATAATCTTCGAGCGTGCCATATGTTCGGGCCAGACACTCAGTGTGGGGTGAAATGTTCTTGCTTTCGTGACTGCTGGCGGAGGGTAAAACTGACTGTGAGTACTTTGGGCATAAAGAAATTGCGTTATGCAATGCCAAAGTGCATATTTGCACAGCAATTGCTCATTCTTAATTGATAAATTAGCATTTTTGCTGTACACACTCTCGCTATTATATGTAGTTTGTATATAATTAGGTTAATCATGAGCAATTCTTAGCACTCTTATTTTCATCAGTTTTGCGCTTTGTGTACGTCTTGCGATTGATAGAGAAACAGCAGTGAAAAAAGGAGTGATAAGTAAAAGTGCGTGTGTGTCTTTCGGGTTTTTACTTCTTCTCTCTCTCTCTCTTCTTCATCAGCAATTTTACATGTGCGTAGTGAATATATTCAAGTATAGAGCATTTCAATAATAACTGAAGAGCACGCGGTGACTCCCTTCGCATGAGGGAACAGAATAGACATCATAGATTGTGTTTAGGGTCTCAGTTCGATGCCCTTATGAGCACATGGGGAGTTACGCTATTTTTATACACTTCCATCAACTTTCTATGCAACTATGGGGTGTGTGCTCAATTTCATATGGCGCGTATTTTCGGAAAAATTGCACCTGGCTTCGAAAATTTGAGTATTGACTGCCTAAACCCCGCATAAAACCATACACACATACATATGTATGTATGTACAACCCTTGGCGGAAAAAGAACAATTGTATTATTGCATTATGCGATTTGGCTTAATTGTACATCCATCGTAATCACTGGCAGTCGTAGGCGATTGCAGAGAGAGAATACACAGTCGCAATAACGAGATTTATCCAGTGTGACGTGCCCCAAGAGTGCCCCCGAAGGAAGGGCCCGTGTCGAGGTGGGGAGATTAGTATCTCTCCCAGAAGTCCAGTAGGGCAAGGTGAAGTGGAAACGCCCTTGGTATATATATTTTGCTTGTATGCCTCGTGTTATGGATGTAATTTTGCGCCCAAAATCAATGGAGTCCGACGATGAATTTCCTCAATTATGTCGGGCGAGTTGGACAGAAGTCTTACATTTGTTGGCCACTGGTAAGAAGGGATCAAGTGCAGAAGGTCAAAGAGCGGAACACTATATAGCAAGTGTTTCCCGACTGTTACAGTCACTGGAGTGAGACTATTATGCTAACTATCCTGACCATGGACTCAGGGCTGCTGCCCTTATTGCACAATTTCCAGCAAAAGAGACACTTTTGCTGACAAAAAAAAACAAAGAAGAAGAAATTGATCTGCTCAGCATCAACTTAATCATCTTTCTCTTCCTGTACAATTGATGATTTTTTCTGCACATCCTAAAGATCACTTGGGTATATTCAAATGAGATGCAAATGATGTGTTGGAAGTGTGATCTTAGCGATATCTCTTGTCTCGTGCGCACGTGTTCGTCGAGTTTGCGAAAAAAGCCGTCTCAGCCTTGGAGGGAGGAAAAAATCTCAACTTCCTCTAGCTGGGCAGGAAGAAGGGCACGAACTGCTCTCCATTTACATAAACTGTTAGTGAGAATTTGGCGCAATACATGGAAGACTTTTTTCTTTCCTATTCATTGTTCAGAAAAATGTTCAAAAGACAGTAAAACGTACATTTTTGCTTAAGCACTGTGACGATGCTTCCGACTGTTCGGCTTCTTCGTCTCCTTCGATTCCTCTATGTTGGGGAAATATATATTAATTAAACACTTTTGCTTGAAATAATTGTCAGTTTATTACTGCGCTGTGGTCAATCAAATCCGTTGGGAAGACTGTTGAGGTGGAATATTGTATTGAATTGGAGAGGTGAAGTCATTAAACCCGAAGGAGATAGCTAGCTAGCACTCCACCCTTTCACGCAGCACGTGTGCAGTCTTCCTTGTGCGCAATCACTTGCCGATGGAGGCGCGTGTAACCTACATTATAGCTCAAGATTCGACGCAATAAGCAAACAATGGGGGCTCAAACAGTTGGGAATTCATTTCCTCTAAACTGATTTTCTTTTTCTGTGCAACTCTTCTGTTTGCAGAAGCGATAGTTAACCCTTGATGATTGCATTTGAAGTCTATCTTGATCATTCATACACAAAACCTGACAAGGATATTTAAGACAATCAAAGCGTTTAGCACAAAAATGTGTCTAAGAAAATAAGCCTTATCACGTGGAAAACGTTATGCCACTTCCGTTTTCAGCAACCGTTCAACATTTTATTTGTATTTGTATTAAACATTTGTAAAATAAAATTGTACATAGGCTCATGGTGTGATAAAGTACACTTGAAGAATAATAAAATCTTTGATTACTCATATTTGTTGAGCAAATATTTAATTGCACATGGAATATGTTGTGTTCCCCTTGTCACTAATGACTTTCTGTATCTTCCAGATCTCATTCCAACGGCGGACAGTGGAATCTCTAACAGCTACCAATCCGAGGAGAAATCTACTGGGTAAGACAATGATGTCCTTTATCATGTGCGCACCACAATAACGGTTGTCTAATCATGAGCGAAATCACTTCCTTCTCACTGTGCCTCTGACTGCGGTGGTCTCTCCGTGGCGGCATTCAAAAAGAGCATTTTGAGTATAAATACTCTAATCCTTTACTTTTTTTTCCTCCTCTACCGTCAGTGCAAAAATTTTCTCTATTCACCTATTCAGCATGAGTGATTATTATCACCTGCTTCAGTTTGAAATGGATGTTTTTCTCGCAGATGAAGGTTTATTTATGTGCAGAAATGAGGAAAAAATCAATTCTCCTGGCTCAGCATCACAAAGGGGAACCCCTACAATCTTGGAATTCACTTGATGCTGTCCTGTGGGATGGTTTCTCTCCTGTCTTGCCTCGTTTTTTTGCCCACACATAGCTAAATACGGTCTTTCTGCCGCACTTGCATATAATGCCTGACTACCATTAATTTTGGCGCGAAATTCCTTCTCCCACAGCCTCTCATTCTGTCTTCTCTGAGGATTTTTATAAGCAGGAATAGTTATCGAATTTCCTACGCATTCACATAATGTGAAAAAAAAACTATGTGCCTCTGGGGGCAAAATTTCTGGAAACAAGACAAGTAATCTTAATGAATGTTTACACCGCTTGCAGAGTGGTTTAATTCATAAATTAGGGATATTGATGGCCAAAAGTGCCTGATTGAGGACAGTGTGTGGTAAGGCATGGCGCCAATAATGGCGAGAAAGGGCGCTGCTGTGGAGTGTTGTGGCAAAAGAAAGGCGGAAATTGCGCCAAAACTGTTGTTTATTTTAGCGCCAAAACAGACAATACATAAACATCTATGTACTCCTTTTCTCCTTCCATTCCACTTGATCCAGGAATTCCTGCCTCTCTCGTGCACCCAGCCCATGTCCAATGCCATCAGACAAATAAGAATCGGCATCCTTGCCTTTGATACACGAGCCTTTCAATTCGTTTGTGCCATGTAGGAGCATTTTGTATGCGAGGTTTACCAAGAAATCCCTCACACTCCAATGCAATGGCAGAGAATAAAATAAAAATGTATATATGAAGTGTGGGACTATTAAAAAAAAACAACATCACAAATTACATTCTCGACACCGACCACTTCTCCCAAGTCATTCATAATATGCTGTGTGGGAGTGAAATGGGATTTTCCCATCAGATTCCATACAATATATAAATACAAGACAGGACCTTATAAGTTTGCTTCCTTTCCTCCGGGGCAGAAGCTATTTTGCACATTCTTCAAGTGCCATTTTTCTGGCCAACAAGAAAGTGAGGAGGATATTATTGCTTGAGGTTGTTTGGAGAAAATTGAAAACATATGAGAGTTATTCAGTCCGTTTTCCTTCTCACTTCTCCTGTGAAGTCCCTGATTGAGGGATTGCTCTCTTGTGGTGATTCTCATACTAGTTTCGCGCCAAAAAATCGCTTGAGCGTCAAATGTGTGGTCCAGCCAAATTCCTTCTGATGCCCTTTTCAGACGCCCAGAGGCATTTTCCATTTTTTGGAAATCGAACGTGCTGGTGACAATAATAATCCCTTTCGATAAATACCTTCTGGCATTCCATTGAGGAATGTCCTCGAGGGTATTTACTGTCCAATTTGGCCACTAAATTTGCAGATATGAATGAGAAATATTATCACACGTGCTGAAAATTGCACTTCTCTCTTGAGGAACTCTATTTCGTGCACAGTTCTGTCTCTAAGAGATGTTTTCACGACAAAGAATCTATTGAAATATGTTTGTTTTCAATTCACTTCGACTTGGGCATTTGAAGATGCTGGCTAGTTCCTCAGGCTGTCTTTCTCCCCAATGGAAACTCGTTCTCATCTATGGGAGAGCAAGTTATTTGATTAGTTGAAGAGACTTGTCGTGGTTATTTGAAGTGCCCTGTGCACTTGTTCTTGCGTTTGTTGACGCATATTCCTCTTTTTTCTGTAAATATTCTGTTAATGTTCAATCCTCTCGCGCTTTAGACATTCTTCGTGGGACATTGTACGCGCTACAAAGTTACAAAATGCACGGGTAAAAGGGAAGCATTGACTCTCTCTTGAGTGACCGTGTGCAAGAAATTGCAATTATGGTGTCTTGTGGGGTGCTGCAGTGCCTTCATGGGCCCAGAGAGATGATTGCTGGTTCATTGACCATCTCTCAAAAATTCAGCTTCCACCGTTTGGCGCTTGACTTTTCCAGTATAACCTGATTATAATTGAATGGTAAAAACTGACAGATCTTAACCACAAGTTGTGTATTCGTCAGGAGGCCAGCAATTTCCGACCGTACCATTTATTTTTCGTTATTTGTTGTGGAATAGTTTACCCCGTGATTTTCTTTCATTATTCTAAATGATTTTCACAAAACTGATTAAGGCCGAGGCATCGAGAATGGGTATAGTTATTAGTAGGAATGCCCATTGAAGTCGCAACAACAAAAGGATTTTCTCAGAATATCTTCAAGTGAAGAAAAGAGAATTCCACACCTATCATTTCTTCTATATATAATGCATCAACAACAAAAAAGCGACCATTGAAATTGAGAAAATAAGAAACTCGTGCTATTGGCAAGCTAACAAAGTTTGTGTTGAAATGCGAAATGAGAAATTGGAAGGAAGAATTGTGTGTGTGAGGAAAAGGGGTGAAATGCTGACCAGAAAGACAGAATGACAATGTCTATTGACGATCCATTGAATAGACATATTGCGGTTGTCTTTCACATCCTGAAAGAAGCCATTTGAAATTACATTACCCACTGTCCGATTGACGGTTCGATGAGGTGGCAAAATTCTTTCGAAAAGTGCCTTGAATGGTGCATGTGTAAAAACGTCTTCTAATGTGTGATCAGCTGCTGATAAAAAATTCTTCCTGCGGTTTATCAAACGGTAGACACGCCGAATTAATATGTGAAATTCCGTTCTGAATTGCCTATCGTTGATTTTTGATATGAATCGAGCCTTTATGTGACGACAGCTGGTGGTTCATTTAAATTCCAGCCAGAGATTTGGCAAGGGAATTTCGGGGAAGAATGTATATTATTATTGGCTGAGAATTTCAGTGTTATCCAATTTTCTACCAGCATCTGAATTACGAACGCCTCAAACACAGACGTTTCAATCACTGTGAATAATTTCCCATGCGCCCCACTGTATGGATAAATTAATCTAATAGAGTCTCAATGTATTCATAATTTGAGAATATTAACATCTCAATTTACAATGTGTAATTCAATATGGAAAAGCAATGAAAGTTCCCTCTTTTTCTGTGACAATTTCTCCGTATCTTAAACCTTTCCTTGAGGCTATTCAACTAGTCCTTCAACTGACCAAATATTTTCTGGCCACGACCTGAAAACCAAAATCCCTCACAGTCGTCAGCCCTTTTTTTCCTGGTCAACTACTTAATATACTTGATGAATTATAGGGCCAATTTGTTGACCCATGTAAATTCGGCCAATATGTACTCAAAGCCTCGGGATTTCGTGTCCGACCATTTCCCTTCATACAATGTATTATTCAAATAGCGTGTGATTGAGAGAATCACATTGAACGATGGGTGCAACAACCCTCTTCTTATCAGAGGTAGTCTTTGAATTAAAATTTTTGGATATGTGTTCCGTACAAAGTCGATAAAAAGTCAAATTCATTCATGAAAATTATATTGTTGATATTACTTATCATGAGAATTTACCACAAAAAAAGGAAGAAGTTCAAACATGTGAAAAATGTTCAGGTTCAGGCTTTTCTTCGTCTATTTGACATCCACATTGTAGAATTTCCAATGTTCTTGTGCTTGAGTGTTAGACACAGAAAAAAGCGTTGCAATTGATTTCACGGGTGTATTTTTCTTGAATTGCCAAATGTCTTCCTCAACAGGCGATTCATTGAATTGTAAATCAATCACACGAATTGTTAGCACACATTATTAGATGAATCTCCAATGCTAATGAGCTATATTTATTATTTTTTTGCTCAACATTATGTAGTACATTTAGCGTACATTTTATCGAATGATGAGCCGTGCCTAATTGCTAAAGAGATAAATTGGAATTTATGATCAATCAGAACTCTCGCCATTTATGTATTTATGAGGCAGAGAAGGCAGATTGAATAAGATAAAACCAATACGCACGTGAGACAGGAAAATGATGAATCATTAATATATTTATTTCTCCTCTATTGAGGCGGGTTTTGTTGATTTTTTCATGGGCTCAAGAGTGGAGAAGAGCTCAAGATTTCTCTAATTCGATCTACAAATAGAACTCAACAATGGTCTTCATGGGAAATCGTGCGAGTGTCTCAAGATCTTGTGGGCCTTTTGCGTGAAATAACCAGTTCTGTGGACCAGCTTTTCAAAGAAATGACTGTTATAATTATATAGCAATAAACATTCTTGGGTAAAAGTTGGTTTTCACAAATTATTTCGTAGGGCTTTTGCCTAAATTGTTAATTGTTTGGCACTGAAATAAGGAGATTGTCTGTTGAATATCGTGTGTCCTTTGAGGAGCGCAGAAAAGAGAAGTGAAACAGTACTTTTTTCTCTAAAATTGCAGACTCCAAAGAATGACTGGAAATGTGAGAAGTGATTGAGAGTCAATGGGACACTCGCACAGTCGGAAAATATCCGGTCAGCTGGCTGTACTTATTCTTGTAATCTTTTGTGTTGTGCTGCATTTTCTCGGAAAATTAACTTCAACTTCCTCCATTCAGTCTATAGTCGAAAACATATCGTACACAGCGAAGCATCGTTGCTTGAATATATGGTCAGCAGCATAGCTTTATGGTTTTCCAGGCGGTCTTCCACCCTAATTAATTTATTGGGCGAAGATCAGACACGAATTTCATTTTCGATGAACAACATGAGAGGGAGAAAGAGATTTAGTAATCACTTTAATGCGTTCCTTAATCACTGAGAAATTTGAAGCGAGTTGATCCGTGAGAAACTTTTTGTCGGGCGGACAGCGAGACATTCATTGGG